GCATCTCTCCTAGGGGGAAAATGAGTCGTAAAATGGTATTAGTTCCTGAAGTCTTATTGAATGAACTTAAAGGAAAATTACCGAAACCTCCTGAATTTCAAACTACTCTCAGTTTAGGTCAGGAATTAGAGGACATTACAAGACGTGAAGATTTAACCCCAGAAGAAAAAGTCGCTTTATATAGTCAAGAACTTTATCGCTATAGAAATTATTTAGAAAAAGCTAGACAACAACCTACAAAAACTCGATTAGCTCAACCATCAGCTCAACCAGCAGCAGCAGCAGGAGCTCCAGCAGCAGCAGCACCAGCAGGAGCACCCCCAGCAGTAGCACCAGTACCCCCATCCCCTGCAGAAGCAGCAGCAGGATCACCAGCAGCCCCAGCTGAGATTGAAGATGAAATTCTTGAAACCGTCAATAAAAACATGAAAAGAAAAGCTGGATTATTATTAAATCATTTAAAGAAAAACCCTAAAGTGTTAACTTGGAATAAAGAAGGTGAAATTAGTTATCGAGGTCAAAAAGTTGCCAATTCTAACATTGTGGATTTAATGGCTGATAGTATGAAATCTCATACTGTGAAAAATCATCCGGTTCCTACAGGATTAGAACAATTTGCTCAAGCTTTAAAAGAGACCCGTACTCCTTTGGAATACCTGAGTAATGGAAACCTTATAAAAGCCATGCAGAAACCTGGAAAAATCAGTACTCCTAAAAGTGACAAAAGAGACGATAGTGGATTTTCTTCCTTTTTGGACACTCCAGTAAGTAGTCCTATAGAAGATCCAGGAACCGTCATTAAAAAACCCATTTCAACCCCTGTAGGGACAAGGGTAGGATCCAGATATAGTCCTTTAGCTCGACAGAAATTAAAAACCAAACTCGAAGAAGAAGAAAAGAAATTAGCAAAAATTGAAGAAAATTGGCTTCCTTTACCTAAGAAATGAAAAAGAAACAAGTGGAAGACATTTTAAAAGAGATTTATTATGATCCTAAAAGAGGGTACGGAGGAATACAAGCTTTGTATCGTCAGGTCAAACCTTTAGGAATTTCCCTGAAAAAGATTCGAGACTGGTTAAAAGAACAAGATACTTATACTTTACATAAACCCATTCAAAGAAAATTCCGCAGACAACAAACTAGAGTGACCGATATAGATGAACAATGGCAATTAGATTTAGCAGATGTGTCCAGTTTAAAGAAATAATGATGGATATACTTTTTTACTGTGTGCCATTGACGTCTTATCTAAATATGCTTGGGTAGTGCCTTTAAAACAGGAAAAGAAATAATTCGAGGATTAGAAGAGATTTTTCAGCAAGACGGACGACGTCCCATCCGCATTCAATCCGATCAAGGCAAAGAATTTACCAATAAAGAATTCTTATACACTTTTAAATCCATTCATTTTTTTACCACTCGTAATACGGACACTAAAGCCAGTATCGTGGAACGATTTCAGAGAACCCTCAAAGCACGCATGTGGCGTTATTTCACTCGTCATAAAACCAGACGATATGTAGACGTCTTACCGGATCTAGTATATGCTTACAATCATTCTTATCATCGAAGTATTAAAAGAGCACCAGCTCAAGTGAATGCTTCTAATGTATTGAAAGTCTGGAAAACTTTATATGGGGAAAAATCTCAAACATTCCCTAAAAAACCTCAATTTAAACAAGGAGTTCGGGTCCGCATTAGTAAAGCTAAACGCACTTTTGAAAAAGGATATTTACCCAATTGGACTACAGGATTGTTTACCATTTCTAAAAGAGTGCCTGGAAGATATCCTTATGTGTATAAAATCCAAGATGATCATGGTGAGGAATTAGAAGGCACTTTTTACGAGAAAGAATTACAAAAGATTAATAAAAAAGATGATGTGTACGAAGTAGAAGAAATCTTGGGGTATAAAAAGCGACGTGTAGGGAAAAAAATCATTCAAGAAGTCAAAGTGCGGTGGAAAGGATATCCTCCTAGTTTCGATTCATGGATTCCCCAAACGGATCTCATTCAATAACGCCTCATTGGAAATTTTGTGGAGAGAAAGTGCCTCGAGAAGAAATTGTTTATTTTGCACAATTATTCATCTGTGTATCTCTTATTACCAGTGTGGTCATGTTAGCTTTACATGATACTAATCGAGAATATTGGATGGTCTGTGTTAGTTCTTCGTAGGTTATATTATGCCTAGTCCTACCCTAATGCATCATACCCCTAAGAAGACCACAAATCCAGGGAGTCTAAAAATAGAGACACAATAGAGTATATAAAAATAGACACAAATCCAGAGAGTCTAAAAATAGAGACACAATAGAGTATATAAAATGGAACAAGTCCAAAAAATTGATCATTTCTGATTTCACTGACACAGAGAGAGAGACAGAGCACACACACACAAAAAAATACAATGGAGTATTTAAGCTCAGAGTATCGTTGGAAAATGAAAGGTTCTACTAAGAAAGGAGAATGGATGAAAAACAAACAAGAATGTATTCAAGATTTCAAAGATAAGAATCCAGGAAAACAAAAAGATGCCACCCTGTATAAGAGAATGAAGTTTCCAGACCATCCATGGGTAATAACACATACGATGGGAATATTAGGGGGTCGAAAGGAACCTAAGTATCAGGAATTCAAATGGAAAGTGAAATATGTCTTGTTTCACAAACAAAAGGGACCAGAAAGGACTTGGATTCAAGGAAAATGGATGGAAAGAGCCAAAGAGTGTATCCAAGATTATCTGAAAGTGCTCTTAAAAGGATACAATATCATGGACTGTGCTTGTGAAACAGAATATTTGTACATGAGAAGATGTTTTCCCATAGATGAAACAAAAGAAGTGTACAAAAGTTTTGAATGTTTATTAATATGATTGTTTTGATATGATTGTTGTTATTATGAATAAAAAACACACAAAAAAAATTACAAGTCTTATTTTTGATCTGTATCACATTTTTTTCTTTAGTGTGATTAATGACGTCACAATGGACATACTTGAATCGCTGCGAAGATTTGTGTATTACCTGTGTATTAATGACTCAGCAAACGAGAAGTTTTTGCACACAGCACACTCATGTGGCCAGGTGTTTTCAGAATAAGATCTCGTGCTAAAAAATAAATATAGTAACAAAATTCTAAAAATAAAACACAGAAAAAGGTATATAAAGCTTAGTTTTGAGTACACTGCGCTCAATCATGATTTTTTCGTGGAGACTGATTTATTTGATTGACGTAGAAAAGTATTACTGTCATTACTGTGATAGGAAAATGATCCAATGGCTAACATTTACGGTGTATGATTATCCTGGATGGCATCACAGAACTTATCGTATTTGTGAGCATTGTGAAATGCCTTTTCCTCACTGGTTTGTGGATGATCCCCCTTCTATGGAGACCTGTGGATGTAACTGGTGTGTGAAATATTTCACATGGAAGTACGGGGTAGAGAATATGGTGCCCCTATGGGTCAAAGTAACGAGAAAGAGAGCTTTAAAGAAAAGCCTGACCTGTTGGGAGGAAAATACGGAGGGGAGATGGAAGTGTCAACAATGTAGACAGTATTCTTGCTGTGGGGAATGTGTTGAGAACTTTGTCAAGACTTGCTACAGACTTTGTCCCTTATGTAGATATGAAGGAAATAAATCATAAAATGAAATGTGTATAAATTATTATTATTATAAATAGAAAGGTCAGAAGTAAATATCTCTCAGTCTCTTACTGAACATGGCTGAGAATAGTGGTTTTTACATGACATTACCCAGTGATAGCTCCATGCAATCTTTTCCGGGGAATACGACCGCTCAATTTAAAACTTTATTACCACAATCTGTGGATTTAACGGATGGTCAATGGGAAGTAGCATTAACCGAAATGATTTATCCTTGTAGTATAGAAAATATAAGTCAGGATGAATCTTATATCGAAGTGTGTATAGTGGAAAAAGTTCCACCTTTTTTTAAAGGCGTTTCACCATCTGAGAAACTGGATCTCGAGGACCCTGATAAGTACCAGTGGGGACGGTTTCAAATATTGAAAAGTACTCCCATCACTTTTCAACAAACCCAGCTTTTAGTAGATTGGAGTAAAGCTTATTGGTTAATCGGTACTTATGATCCTAAAGAGAAATTGAATTTGTATCGACTTCGATTTAGACCGGGACCTTATCCCAACCCTACAGCTATCCTGGCAGAAATCAATGAAGGTTTAGTACAGACCATGAAAAAAATCTGGAAAAAGTATCACAAATGGACCGAGAAAAAAAAACCCACAGATCAAGGAAGTGATGACGATGATGATGTGTATGGACATTTAAAACAAACTTTAAAGACAGTAATACAAGACCTGAAAGAGGAAGAAGAAAAACCCTCAAAAATTGAGATGAAATTTAATTATCGGAAGGATTTCAATCGAATGAATTATGTCACTCATTTACGTCAAATTCCCATCTTTGTACGTCTTCCCTTAAGTCTGGCTTATAAATTAGGATTTCATGATTCTAAATTAGTCCCGGAAAATTGGACAGAAGACACGACCAAATGGATTAACATCAGTTATCTGGCTCCAGACACTGTAGATTTATATCGAAATTTAAAATCCATGTATGTGTATTGTGATCTGATTCAACCCCAGACCGTAGGATCGAATGCCTTGAAATTATTAAGAGTGGTCCCTTGTCAATTTGAACACAAAGACAATCAATGTAAATGGGAACCCATTCGTGCGGAATATCTCCCTTTGAGTAAAAAACATTTTGATACCATTGAGATACACATCATGACACCTTTAGGAAAACCCATGCCCTTTTTAAGTGGAAAAACTCTAGTCAAACTTCATTTTAGAAAAGTGTACTGAGATGAGTGTACAACTTTTTTGTTACATCCTATTGGGAGTCATGATTTGTCTGGTATGCTGTCTATATTGTATTCAGCCCTAAAAAAGGGGTATAAAAGGAAGTCCTCAGAGTGCAGAAAAGTCAGTTTTTAAGAACAGTTATCACCATGCAGTATCATCCAGGAATATTAAGACAGAGAGGACATGGTTGGACTTATCATAAAGGTTTATTACGACAAAAAGGACTTGGGCTTGGTCTTTTAGCTCCGGTGTTAAAATTAGCAGCTCCAGTAGTCAGTAATCTATTAGGTGGAATATTAGGAGGGGGTCAACAGCAACCACCCCCACCCCCACCAGCTTATTATTATCCACCCCCCAAAAACTATCAAAGAGGGGAAGGATTTTTTACGGATTTACTGAAAACGGGAGCTAAACATGCCTTGACCGCTGCTGCTAGAACGGGGTTAGATGTGTTAGAAAATAAGAGATCTTTAAAAGATGCTATCAAAACTCACGGAATACAAGCCCTGAAAAATACGTCGGGAATGGTGAAACAAAGAATGAATCTAGGAGATAGTAAGAAAAGAAAAAGAAAACAGACAGAACGAGTTCTGTTGGCTAGAGGAGGTCCTAAGAGAAAAAGAAAAAATCAAGGAGACAATATTCCTAAGAAGAAGAAAACACGGTCTTTAGATGTCTTTGACTGAGAGACTATAAATAGAGGAGTGTGAGGGAGAAGAGTTTCATTTGTGAAAAATCAATCTTAGTAGACAGACATCATGTTACAACCCGATTCCTGTGCTTGTGGGATGGACAATTTACAATTGTTCCAAGTCCCTCCCACTAATATTGCTTTAGAAGAATCCAAATGGGAAGAATATTACCCTATTTCTAGTACTTTAGATTCAGAGACAGCTCCGATCGAATTTGAAATTAAAGGACAAGGAGATCAATATCTAGATTTATCTCAAACTTATCTTCAAATGGTATGTCAATTTGTCCAAAATGATGGAAGTGATCTGGGTGGAGATCCTGCTAAAACAGCCCCAGTGAATAATATCTTACATTCCTTGTTTACGGAAATTGATGTTAATATCAATGGAAAAATAATCACTCCAGGGACCGATACTTATCCTTACAAAGCTTATCCGGAGAAATTACTGTCTTACAAACCCAGAACTTTAGCCACACAAATGAAAGCTTGTAGTCTATGGGAAAAAGATACAGCAGGACATATGGACGAAAGAGGGCTAGCAGCTCTGGGAGTGGCTGCTAATCAGACCTTTGCTGTAGCTGCTGATGCTTGTACCATTAACAAACCCATCATCCCAGCGTACCCAGCCAATTCTAAAAACGAAGGATACAGAAAACGTCATGAAGCTATAGATGGTAGTAAGAAAATTACTTTGTTGGATCGTTTACATCTGGATTTGTTTCAACAAGATCGATTTCTACCGAATGGAGTTGACGTCCGTTTGAGATTTAATCGAGCTAGACCTGATTTCTACATGATGACGGCTCAAGCCAATACGGGAAAAGTCAAAATATTAAGTATGGTCTTGTGGGTGAGAAAAGTGAAACCTTCCCCTACTTTAATGAATCACATCAATCAAACTTTGAATACTCACAGACCCAAATATCCATTAAGAAGAGTCGAAGTCAAAAGTTTTACCATACCTACAGGAACTCAATCTAAGATTACCGATCATCTGTTTCAAGGCCAGATGCCAAAAAGGCTCATTTTAGGGTTTGTGGAGAATGCAGCTTTTAATGGAGATAAAACTAAAAATCCCTTTAATTTTCAAAATTTTGGGATTAAAAAATTAGATGTTAGTATCAATGGAGAGACCATGATGACTCGTTGTTTCGAACCTAATTTTAATGAAGATTTATATCTGAGATCTTATCTGAGTTTATATCAAGCTTTGGGAAAATTAGGAGAAGATTGGGCTCCGGACATCACCTTAGAAGAGTATAAAAACGGATACACTTTATGGGGCTGGGATTTCACTAAAGATCAAGAAGCCCAATCGGATAAATTCCATCTCATAGAAACAGGAAATTTAAGAGTAGAAGTCCAATTTACGAACAACACGGCCACCACTTTAAATTGTGTGGTGTATGCAGAATTTGATAACCTCTTAGAAATCAACAAACAGAGAGAAGTGAGCATTGATTATTAATGGATACAGGACAGTTGAGAGAAGTGTTATCTAGAGAATTAAAGAGTTCGTTTGGTGGAGTGTATCCTTTAGATTTATTACTAGATCAATTAAAATTTGGAGAAAAAGCCATTGTAGTCAATACAGATCCTCAAGATCAACCTGGAGAACATTGGGTGTGTTTATATGTAAGCAGTCCAGTGGTAGAATATTTTGATTCTTATGGATTTCCTCCCTTACAAAAAAAAATTCAAGACTTTATCCAGCGTCATGGTCATCAATGGATTTATAATCCGTATCGATATCAAGATTGGAATACTGATGTGTGCGGACAATATTGTGTGTATTATTTACATCAAAGACATATCAAGAAAATCAAAGCAAATGAATGGTTATTTCCCTTTGACCATCATACAGCTTTACAAAGAGATCATTATGTAGCTCAATGGTTTAAAGACACTTATCATAAAAGACCAACAGGTCATGGACAAACTTGTCAATGTTTCTATCAAAATGTATTGTAAAAAAAATTGTTATTGTTATTGTTGTTTTGTTTGTTGTTCTTAAAATAAAAAAAAAGAAAAAAATGCTGCCTAGGTGTTTTTTTTAAGAATCTGAACTGATGCTCCTATATATATATAAAAATAGTAACAGAGAGTTAAAAATAAACTTACAAAAAAAAGGTATAAATACAAAGGGTTAAAGTGTATTAAAATCAGTTTGATGAGGATGACTTGAGTAAAAAGTCAAAAGATATGGAGGAAGAGAAAATACCATTATTAGAAAAAAGAATGATCATGCCTATGGAGGTAAATGATTCCAGTCCTCCCAAAAGAAGAATAGAACTAAACACTATGGAGGAGGAAGAACCCTGTAATGTTTACTTGCCAGCAAATGAGAAGATTCATGACCCAAAGGACCCATACAGAAGTTACAGAGTAGCCATTAACTGGACATTTGTTTTAAATCAAGTGAACGAAGAAATAGAAGATATAGACATTTTTCTGAACCTTGAAGATGAAATTCAGTACTTGATTCTAAAAAAGGAAATTCATCCCTGGACAGGAAAAGTGCATCAAATCAGGGGTTTCATTCAAATGAAAGAACCTGTAGGAGGACTGGATGTGCTTAAACTTAATCTTACAGCAAGATTTGATATGTCTCACAGTACACCAGAATTAGAAAGAATGTTTTACAGGCAAGGTGGTAACTATCAAGAATATGGAATTCTGAAACCTGAGGAGAGAAACAAAGAATTACTGGAGAAATGGGAAACAGCAAAATTGTGCCTGGAGAAATTTCGTAGAAAAGAAAAAGAGAAATGTTATTTTTGTTCAGCTTAAATATATAAAAAGTGACATTTAAAAAAATATTCCAGTGTAAATTATAAAAAAATTTAAAAAATAATCTTTGTGTGTTAATAAAATGATGTGTAAAATAAAAAAAAATTTAAAAAATGTATTTCTTATTTTTTTTTTTAAATTAATGTTAATAAAAAAAATTTAATTTTAATTTTTAAAACAACAGTGACCTCTGGGTGTTTTTTATGAGACGTTTCTATTATAACCAACTGTGTATCAAAAAGGTATCTATTCGAATCATTGAAGTGGCCCTTAAAAGGGCCGTTGTTGATTTTTTTCTTTAAGGGTTTACTCCCTTACTCCGGCTGTAGGCCAAATCCTTGCCAAGGGAATGGGTTGTAGCGGCATAATGGGCAAGGGAGTCTTCGATCTATGATCCTTGCCGAACATAGATAGCAGGCTGGTCTTTGCCGACATTGGTCACAGATATAATTGTTCTGTTCTTGTTCGCACAAACACAGGCTGCAAAAAATGGTAGATACAGGGACTTGTAAACCCCAGCTGGGGATACAGCCCTGAAACCTAGTCTGGGTCTGCTGGCTGTGCTGGCTCTGGCGATTGTAAACCTTATCCACCGTTGATGGTATCCCAGGAGATGGAGGTGGTGATTCTGGAGAATCAGGGAGAGAAAAATTTCTTCCCTCTTCCTGGGGCCTGGGGTGGTAAATAGGCCTTGGTGCTGGTGGCGGTGGTGAGGGTGGCCTTGCTGGTGGTGAGGGTGGCCTTGCTGGTGGTGAGCGTGATCTTCTCCTCCTCCTCCTCGAGTGAAGTCTATCATAAGGTGTCGCTGATATTCTTCTGGCATGGGTATTTTCACTTATCTGCACCCGCATCATTGGACAACGCAACAATTCTTGACCGTCTGTGATCCTCCGTACAGCATAGCAACATACAAACTCAATTCCGGGGATGAGGTATAATTCTTCATGAAAATTGTCGTCAGCCATCGTAAGGGTCGCTGTGAAATCAGCTAGTAACGAATGACAGTTAACAGCTGACGAGCGTTGGTATTTATACACACAGCGCGACCCGAAAAGAAAGCACCCAAAAGCCCGGATGAAACAGAGCTCAAAAAGTCATGGAGAATTCAAAATTGTGTTATTCTGTGTTTGTGAATATCTCTGTTGGATTAAATAACATATTATGGAATGATATATAGTTTCAAACCTAGTGAAAGAATGAAGGTAAGTTTTGAGGATGATTTCACAGTATTATTCATACATGACATTCCTCCGTTGTTTAGAACAGGCTCATTCATGCCGAAGCGAAGGCCTAACCTTGAGTGACCTGAATACATAAAATAAGGAGTTTTAAACTTTTAAAAGTGTGACACCAAGAAAACTTAATGTCTATCATAAGATCGAACCTAAGGAAAAGTGTTGAGAGGGTTTTTAAATCAAAAGAATCCTTACAAGTGTAGAAATAAACTTAGCGTCGGTCTAAACATAAACACAAGGGAGGTCAAAGGTCAGCCATTTTCAGAAAATCACTGTATAGACTTGTGTAGAGCCTATACGATTCTTTTCAATCCTGATCTTTGATGATGAAAATTTTGACATGAATACAATCGGAAACATATAAAAATCATTTGTATCTACTTTATTTCCAATGGGAAAGTCTAGATTTTTATAAAAAGACTAAAACATCTCAGCGTCTAAAAAAGGACACAAGATGGCGTCCTATTTGTATAGAAATAATAACCAAAAAAGCTTAGTGTCTTTTTTTCAATCTTTTTTTATTTTTTTAGTTTTAACAATTGTTCCAAGTGTTGAATTCTCCTCTGAAATCTTAATCGATCCGCTACTACAGTCATCCATTCACTTTTCCGATCTTCGGGGGGTAAATCATGAATTTCATTCAAGTCTGTATTAAACGTCACACATTTTTTAGTAGGTCTGATATTTCCAGAGATTTCATTCCGTATTGAATACAGATTTTCTCCATCGTTTTTATTTCTTTCCAAAGTAGAATCACTTTGCTCCCTTGGGGATGACATAGAAAACTGTAGGGTTTTTGTAAATATTGCATCATGTTCATCCCGTACATTTTTTCGGGTAAGGTCTTTTTCATTCGTTGACATAGGAAATGAATAATCGCTAATTTCCCCACTGTCGTACGATGGGATAAAGCCAGGCATTGTAACCACAAGTCCTGAGTGGTTTCTATGATGTTGTCTGCTTTCTGAAACACTTGTTCCGCTTCGGGGGGTAATGGTTGTTCCTGTTGTTCTAGACATTGCATTAAAGTATCATAACTTTCCAACACTAAAGTGTGATAGTGTCTCAACATGATATCAATGATTTTTAAAAAAAGAAATGTTTTTATGACCTTATTTATACTTTTTGGTTTTCTATTTATAGAAATAAAACCAATCAAGGTAAAAATAGGACTTAAGATAAGTTTTCTTTTGCACACGGTACTATACTACACAGGTGTGTTTTAAGACTCTTGAATTGGTGCCAAGATTAGGTACATGACCCCTCTCTGCAGGTGTTTTAAGAATCAGATCTCGTGCTTAATATATATAATTATAGTAACAAAAAGGTAAAAATAGTTTTTCAAAGTTGAATGGGTGCCAAAATTTCACCTGTGCAGGTGTTTTAAGAATGGGATCTCGTGCTATTATAATTATAGTAACAAAGCTAAAAATAGTTTTTCATAAGGTATATAAACTCAGAGTTCAGTCAATTATAGCATTAGTCTTGACACCTGGAGAAAGAATAGACATGGCAGAAGCAATGATGAATCTTAATAATTTTACAGGTCAGAATTATATTCCACCTCAGAGTAGTGGATTAGGATATGCCTTACCCACGGCACCTGATACACAAGATCCCATCGGATTGGATTTAGGACTTTATAATATGCCAGAACCCATGACCAAAGAAGATATGAGCATCTTAACCACCACTCTGGATGGAATTATTAAAATGCTGACGGATTTAAAAGAGTACAACACCAGTGAATTTTGTTTGATAAGGGGCAAATTATCCCGATTAGAAGTTAAAGTGACTAACATCCAGGAGAAAATGAATGGTGGATTTTATCAGAAAAAACAGAGTAGCAGCAGTAGCAGCAGCACAGGAAAAAAGACAAAAGAAACAGATCCATGTTACATTTGTAAAGAGTTGGGACATTGGGCTCCAGACTGTCCCAGAAAAAAACAGGATTTGTGTTACAAATGTGGAAGAATAGGACATTAGGTTAATGAATGCCCAGAAGATGATCAACAATTAGTGAAAGAAGTACAAGATTTAGAGAAAACTCAAGAGAAGAAAAAACATCAGGAAAATCAAATTCCTACCAAAGGCACTAACAAAAGGAAACTTGAGAATACCAATGTAAAGGAGAAACTAAAATTGAAACTCCAGAAAAATAATTGACAGTTTTGTTGTGAATAATGGATGTGAAACAGTAAAATTCATGTTTTTTTGTGAACCTTGTGATATTCCTGTTAGGACTGTTTCTCTGATGTTTTTTTTTTTCTTGTTTTGTGTGATAATGACGTCATAATGGACATACTTGAATCGATGCCAAGACTGTGTACGTCCTAGGTATTAGTGACTAACTAAAAAAACCTTTTTGTACAGTGATAAAAAATTTGTGATTTTCGTGTTGTAATAGGACTGTTCTCTGATCTTGTTTTTTTTTCTTTTCATA